CGTTTCCAAAGATGTCCTTAGCTGAACTTCGAACTATGTAACACCAAAGCAAGGCTAAGAGGAAAACAAGAAAATAAACACTGCTCCCTCATATCTGCCAATTCTTATGCAGTTATTCCACAAGCTAGAAATAATCTATCTACATTTTCAAGCTCTTGATACCTCAATTATTATTAATCATTTTACATTTGTCCCTCTGGATGTGCAAGTTACAAGTTTGTAATAACTTTTGGTTTGTGTGCCAAAGCCTATATAAGTTTTTCAACCTGTAAAATATTTTCTCTTTTATTCCATGGATGCATTTTGGATAAGAGTCCTGGGGTGGAGAGAGCCATATCTAGGGAATATTATTAGAGAAAAATAGGTTCTAAACTCTTCAGGCAGAGTTTAGATAATACACGCAGTAAGTAAAATTGTGCTACATTAACCAGTAGTAGTGTGACATAGGGGACGGGATTTAAACGACATGAGAATGACTTGCAATTAATTATCAAATGTTGATTGGTGAAAGGATCACAGCATTTGGGCTTTAGAAAATAGAAATACTGGGTTCTAGGCCTTCCACCTATTTCCACACTACCTCCTCGCCCCTGAGCCCGCGATCCCCATCACCACTGTGTAAATTTAGAGGTATCGCATAACTATTCTGGTTGATTGTAGAAGATCCTAAGCTGTCAGAAAGTAGATAATTTCTTCTTGCTCTAAGATTTTAGATTCAAAACAGTTCATACATGGCTGGGTCTCATTCTCAGTCCCAACCTTCTCCCCCACCCCCACTTCCCACCAGATGTAACTAATTTGCTTAACAACCCTCTTGCTCAGAGCAAAAAGGTGATGTGCAGCTCAGACTTGGTCTCCATGTTTGCCTCTCCAAATATCCCCTTGATGCACCCGATCACCTCTGAAAAGCTTACCTGAATGGCATGTACTGAATCAGCATCTGCTGCACCTGCCTCTTCTGATTGTGAGCAAGCAGATCGCAGGAGGTGGCTGAAGGTGCATCAGCTCCACAGAGGGCAGAATTCGTTGAGGAGGCAGAGAAAGGAGAGAAAACTTCAACAGAAATAGTTCAAGTGTCTCGAAGTTAAAAATAAAACTATATCACAAGGGGCAATGTGACCAGGCTCAGCTTACGATTTTTTCTTTCCCCTGTATTTATCAACACCCCGTTTCTACTGGAGTGGCATTTAGCAGGGGGAGCTGAAAAGGAAGTGAGGTTTTATATCGATGGGTTTTCTTTCCCTCAAGGAAGGAAGAAAATCCTTTCAAGAAGGATCATTTTCAAGGCCCGAGCAGCCTCTCAGACTCCTGTGAGTGCAGTCAGCAGATCCAGCTGTGCTCAAGGTGGCTGGTGGAGCATTTAGGACAGGCTACTGCTCTAATTATAACTGTGCTTCTCACCTAAACCCATAGCTAGCTGAAGCAGCAACTTGTGCAAGCGGCATGCGGCCCTGTTTCTGTTTATTATTTCTTGTCATGACAAGTAAATGGCTGTCCTCTGCTGGCCTTCTTCTTTCCCGGGTAGCTGGAAAAGGGAGAGTTTCTAACTCATAAATCAGGCTTAGAGTTAAGTCCAGTGTAAGAATTAGAGGTGGTAGGAGGCTTAGCTATGACTTAGTCCAACTCTCTCTTTTTATGGATGAGAAGACCAAGTTTTAGTGAAGGTAATTTTTTTTCCCAAGGTCACATAGCTTGCTAGTGGAAGAGCCAGAGGAAAAACTCGGTTATTCTTCTCACTCCTATTCTGATGCTCTTCTTTATCCTGTCCTCCTCAAAGAAACTCATTCAACTATCTTCTGAGGAAAGAAAATATATAATCTTGGCTTTGCTAATTTCTAGGTACAGTAGACTCCCTTGTTTGTGGTTTCTCTGTCTGTGGTTTCAGCTACCTGTGGTCAGCTGTGGTTGGAAATACTAAATGGAAAATTCAATTCCAGAAATAAATAATTCATAAGTTTTAAATTGCTGCCATTCTGAGTAGTGTGATGAAATCTCGTGCTCTTCCACTCCATCCAACCTGGATGTTAATCATCCCTTTGTCCAGTACATCAATGTTGCATGTACTACCCATAAATCACTTTGTAGCTCTCTTGGTTATCAGATCGACAGTCATGGTATCACAGTGCTTGTGTCTAGGTCACCCTTATTTTACTTAATAATGGCCCCCAACTGCAAGAGTAGTGACGTTGGAAATTTGGATGTGCCAAAGAGAGGCCATAAAGTGCTTCCTTTAAGTGAAAAGGTGAGTACAGTACAATAAGATATTTTGAGAGAGAGACCACATTCACATAACTTTTATTATACTATATGATTAATAATTATTCTACCTTATTAGTTATTATTATTAATCTCTTACCATGCCTAATTTATAAATTAAACTTTATCATAGGTATGTATAGGAAAAAACATAGTATATATAGGTTTGTATTATATATAGTACTTATTGGAGCTATCTGCCATTTCAGGCATCTATTGGGAGTCTTAGAATGTTTCCCTGAGGATAAGGGAGGACTCCTACATGTGATTTTGACCAAGTTACTTAAACACTCTCTACCTTCATTTTTCCAATTGTGAAATGAGGCTGATAATAGTGTGACCATGTGTTGATCAGCTCACACATGAATACATTAATATATGTAAAGCACACAAATGTCATCTAACACACACCCAGTGCTTAATAATGCTATTATTTGAACATATGGACTAAAAATAGATGTGCTAAATGCTGCTGCAATTAACAGAAGCTGAATTGCACTTTCCCCTGGATTCTTCCATGCATATATGGCTGTGTAAGTAAAATTATTTGGAGTGAATAGCCAGCAGTTGGAAATTATAAAAATTTTGTGAGCAAAGGAGTTTTTATGGCAGTGAAACTACTCTGTATGGTTCTATAAGAGATGTTATTATACATTTGTCAAAATTCATATAATGTACAACATCAACAGTGAACCTTAATGTAAACTATGAACTTTAGGTGAGAATGATATATCAATGTAGGTTCATCAATTGTAACAAATGTACCATTCTTGTGTGGATTGCTAGTGGAGAGGCTGCGTGTATGTGGGCGAAGGGGATATATGAGGAATTTCTTTATCTTCTGTTGAATTTTGCTGTCAACCTAAAAGTATTCTAAAAAGTAGACTATTAAAAAGTCAAAAGTGAAAAAATACTCAATGAACAATAAACCTCACAGCCTAAGGGCCAGTGTCTGTCTCCTAGGTTTGCAGTCTTGCCCTGTAGTTCTCTGCAATGACCCAGAATGTGGTGGGTATCAGGGACCGGCAAACTTGCTACTGCTACTGTCTGTGAATAAATTGCTACTATCAGTAAATGCTAATTCAATTATTTTTATTATTCACATTATAATTTCTTCTATGATTGATTAATTGCTTAGAAATATACTTTTAAATTTCTCAGTAGAGGGAGAGGTTGGAGCTTCTTCTAATTAAATTTCCTTATAGTCAAAGAATGCTGTTTGTATGTTATCGATTCATTTAAGTTTGGTAAGATTTGCTTTGTGGTCTAGTATGTGGACACTATGTGCTTGAAAAGAATGTAATCTCTACTAGCTGGATGCAGAAATCTACATATTTCCATTAGATGAAGCTTATTAACTATGTAGTTAAAATCTTCTCTACCCATACTAAATTTTTATTTATTTGACACATCAATTGAGTATTATATTAAAATCTTCCAAGAATTTTGGAAGTTTCTCCAAGAATTTTGTTAATTTTTACTTTACATATTGGAAGTATGCTATTAAATGTATACAAATTCAGAATTATATCTTTCAGGTTAATTGTTCATTTTGTCCTTGTCTAATATACTTTTATTTCCAAGAGTGTTTTGCCTTAAAGTTTACTTTGACAGATATTACTATAACTGTGCCAGCTTCTTTTCCATTTTAAAAAAGGTCATTGATTTGAGATCTTACTTTTGAAATATAGGCTTTTTCAGCTATAAATTTCATTCTAAGCACTGATTTAGGTTCATCACATAAGTTTTGGAATGTTGTATTTTTGTTTACATTCATATCTGGGCATTTCATAATTTTCCTGATTTCTTCTTTACCCAATGGTTATTTAGGAGTGTACTTTTTAATATTCATATATTTGTGAATTTCATGAATTTTTTTTTTCTGATATTGATTTTTAATTTCGCTGCATTATGTTTGGAAAATACTTTATATGATTTAGAATCCTTTAAAATTTATTTTATAGCCTCAAATGCCTTTTATTCAAAGTATTTTCTATGTCCTTTATTCAAGTTTTGAAGTTTTCTCCACAGGTCTTACTCTTCTTAGTTAATTCCTAGATACTTTATATATATATATTTTTTTTTATTGAAAGGTACTTATTTTATTAGGTATTTATTACTGATTTTGAGAAATGCTACTAATTTTGTAGGTTGATCATGTAGCTGGAAAATTTGCTTAAAAGTTTTGCTGTCGATTTTGTAGATATTTTTAAGATGATCATCTTCAAATATGTGTTTTTTTCTCTTCCTATACCAGTTCTTACATTTCTTACTATGTATAGACTCATACTATATTAAAACTAATGGCAATAGTGATTTCTTCTTAAACTTTGATCGAGATTACCCTTTAGAAAACTCCGGACCTAAAGATTGGAAATAAAATGTGAGTTTATAACCTGCTCCCATAAAAAGGCTGCTGACCCTCTTTTAAAAAGTCTAAGAGAGTTTTGAGAAGAGGAGTTTTTGGAGTCAAAGTGGACATCTATGGGATTAAGAAGGCCTCTTCCCAGGCAGAGTTGTGGGTTTGACTGTGTAATACTAAGCTGTACTTGAAAAAAGCAAACAAACAAAAAAACAAACAAAAAAAACCAAAAAACCTCTAGTATCTACAACATTTCCATAGAAGTCAAAGTGACACAACCCAGATATTTGGGTTAAGAAGCAGGCAAAGGAAAGAAGAGAGCCATGTACAAGATGCAAGAAGGTCTTTTTTATGTACTAGCTGATATTTATTAGTACTTTGATCAGGGGAATCCAAAGCCCATCATATTGGAGAGGTTCTGGAATTCCAGGCTGTCTCTTAGACTATAGGCTGCAAGGCCTCAGCTTGTCATACTGGATGAGATTTACCAGGAGATCGACCTATAGTTGGACTAGCAAAGATGCTAAAAGAACCTTGTTCTTTTAGCTGTGGCCTGTGGGTGAGAGATACTGATATAGACTGTAGAAAGAGTGGGATACCTCATCCTCATCAGGTAAACTGTACCGTTCCATGATTTGGGTTATGTCATAGGCATCAGAATACAAAGTAGGAACTGAGGCCACTAGCCTCTCCAGCTGAGGACCTTGCATTTGGACATCACTTGTGGGACTCTCAGTAGTGATAGAGTCCCACGCCCAGTTGGGAGGGCCTAAGGGCTGAGGTGGAAGGGAGCTATAGAAATCTGAAACTATAGGGAAAAAAGAATATAGACTGGTTGATATTGTGGGTGAGATGGGCACATTCTGGGCTGGAAGAATCTGGTTTGGTTGCTTCAGTGATAGCTGTTGCCGCTGCTGCTGCCACTGCTGCTGCCGCTGCTTCTGCTGCTTCCGCAATTTGACTCGCTGGTTCCTGAACCAAGTCTGGGAAAAGAGGGGAGATTGGTCTGTAGTGGAGAAGTTTGAGGTGTCTCCTGGGTGAAAAAAGGCAGATTACAAGCCCCATATCCTCTTTAAGTCACCGTGACACTGAGTTCTGAGATAGCAGAGGTGGCCATGAGTAGAGTCAATAGAAGGGATAATGAGGGGTCAGGACTGAGACCCCAGAGAAGAAAGAAGAAAAGGGGGTATGTTAAGAGGTTGTTTGGGGAGTTCAGAGAAAGGGTTCTGAACTCTGGAGAAGAGAAACTAGATCAGGGACCTAGAAGAAGGTGAGGAATTTGAACGAAAGGAATTTTTAAGCATTAGTTAGGAGGCCTCAATAGTGAGGAATACTCTAAAAAAATAAAAATAAATAAAAATAAAAGTTGAGCCTTAGCTGTCTCAGAAGTTGGGGGAGTTATTTGTTTGTTGGTGGTGTTGTGAATAAGCAGATTATACATATTTGCTTGAGAAGAACCAGAGTGACAGTCTAATGGACTCTATATCTGTTTAGAGTGAGGAATGTCAGCATGAGAGTCCCTCCCCTATTTGAGCTCTATAGTACAAGACCTCTGGATCTCTAATTCCAGTTATACTACTTACTAACTCTGTGGCCCAGTCACTTCACTTTGAACCTGTTTTTCACTTCTTTTAAACTGGATAATAGTGAGGCCAACATATGCAATGTGCCTAGTTCAGTACTAGCACACAGTAGGTACTCAATAAAATATTGTGTTATGGAGAGAATTTCCAGGCTGAATAGTATAACATAGTTTGGATAGAGGTATCAAGCATACCTCAGGGAATCAGACAGATCTTTATTGTTGACTCTGGTAGGTTGAGTTTCAAAGCAAGTTCCTTCTGGAGATTTTTATCTGGAAACATGGTGTGGCTAAACAGAGCCTCCAACTCTTCATTCTGCGTATGCATGAACAAGATGCATTTTGGGTGCTTCTTCCACATTGCTGTAGAGCAGAGATGAAGAGGGCATGGTTACAGTTAACATTACTCCCTCTCCCTCAAACCCCCTGCAACCAAACCATAGTCGTGGATCTCCCAGACTTTCCTCCAATCAAGCTTGGAATCCAAGAGATGCAGATTCCAGGTCTTAACTCTGGGAGGCTGAACCAATGTAACAGTACTCTATCCCCTGTTTTCTGAGGGTTAATTTGCCCCTGATAAGAAATGTTACCTCTTCAATTTTCCTGTACCCAGTCTGTTTGCTCTGGAAACTGGCTCCCTTGAGTTTCAGTTTGCCCTGCACTGAAAACAGAAAATCTTTTTTCATAGGTATTCAGTCTGCCTACCCTACCTTAAGCTTGGGACATTGGACAGTAGCTTCCTTCTTTGTTTTTCACATTTTGTTTCTTTTAGAAACTCAGAAGAAATCTCATGTCCTTGAACCTAACTATAACACACTCTTCAAAAAGGATTTTCTCTCTTCACTTATTTATTCAGGAACTCAGTCTATCTCTTCCAGTGAATTCCCCACCTTCTGGCTTTCTGAAGCTCCATTCACTCCTCTTGGAAAAGGTTCATAAGAAATGAGATATAACTAAATATGTGAAGACAATTAAAAAATTATAGACTATTTTTTTAAGTGGCAATGGAGAGAAAGAAGAAAATTTCTAAATTTTCTAAGAAAATACAATTACCAAAATTTGCTAAAAGAACTGCAGACCCTGAATAAGAACCACAGGAAAGCATAGGTTAGGTTACAGAATTCAAGGCAATGCTATGCTAATTCTCTTGTTATATGATCATTTTAATAAAAAGAGGAAAGGTCTTAACTTGAGCCTCACTTCTTGTATTTGAAGTCTATATCACCAGTACTAAAACCAGGCAAAAGTGAACACTATAAAGATTAATGCCACTTATGAACATGTGAAAATAACCTATATAACCTATATAAAATATATTTAATATAATCACACATTTAAGTGTACACATTTCTAAGCTTATAGTATCTAATGGACTGTATATCTGTTTAGAAAAAAATTGTTACAGTTGAAGTTGTTAAATTCTATATTATATACAGTTTTAATTATGTATTAAAAGTAAAGGTCAAGGTTTTAAATTTATTATCTATTTGTTCATGCCTAAACACAACATATAAAAGTAAATTAAATAAGCAAAAAGCTTTTAGGTGATAACAAGAAGGGAAAAATGATCTGTATGTGTTTTTAGCTTTTTACAAACTCTTGAATCATTATTAGCTTGATTCTGTTTATTCTAAATATTCTCTCTTTTAGTAAGACTGTTAACAGGTTTTTGCATTTAAGCTTTGTGCCCATTCTTTGGTGTAATAACTAGTCTCTTTTGACAATTCTTTTCTTGTGTTTTAAAATGGATCTTGGAGCTGTTGATCGATTGTGACTTCCCACTTATCTGTGCACAGAAGAAGGACAACAGGGAATCATCAGGAGTTAAGAAGAGTATCCTTAAAACATCAACAGGTATACATTGGAAAGTTCAGCAGACTATCTGAGAAAAGCATCTGAGAAAAGATGCTTTTAGACATACAAAAGCTGCAAAAATCCATCACCGGCAGACCTTTACTACAGGATATATTAAAGGCCATCATCCTTCAGGCAGAAGAAAAAATTATGTATATATAAATGGGTATGTGGAGGGATGTGGAGAAATTGGAACGTTAGTAATTGCTGATAGGACTATAAAATGATAGTAATTGCTGATAGGACTATAAAATGATATTGCAACTCTGGAAAACAGTTTGTCAGTTTCTTAAAAAGTTTAACATAAACTTAACATAAACCCAGCATTCTACTCCTAGGAATCCACCCAAGAGAAATGAAAACATTTATCCATGCAACGACATATATACAACTATTCATAGCAGCATTGTTCATAATTGCCTCAAACTGGTAACAATTCAAATTTCCCTGTTGTTGAATGGATATACAAATGTGGTATATCCATACAATGGAATACCATTCAGCAATATAAGTAATGAGTTACTGATACTGATACATGGATGAACCTCAGAAACATTATGCTAAATGAGATATATATTTGCTAAGATTAAATGATAAACTCATGGGAATTCGTTACATTATTCTCTGCTTCCATTACAAATTTTCTATATATTAAAATGTTAAAAATAAGTAAACAAAATGTAATCTTCAGCAATTATTTTTTCCAAAAGAAGAATGATCTACTCTTAGATGGAATTTTTATAAGCAGGAACTATGTTCACCAAGGTAAGTGGCTGGAAGAAGTGGAGTGGCGATTTGGTAATTTCTGAATCATTTATGTTTAATAATAGAAACTTTGCTTACAAACTGTACTTTCCTAGGAATATGATCACAAACAAGTTACTTAAACTCTCTACCTCAAGTACATCAATCATAAAAAGTGAATGCTAAGAGTATTTACTTTATATTAGTGTTTGTAAATGTATTGCACAAATGTGTTCATGTTAGGTATTAATACACACAAAACACTAGAATAATGCATGGAATGTCATGTGCACGGTATACATCTTTCTTTTTATTAATTTTATTATTTTAGAATACTTGTCACTGAAAATGAAATCTGTTTAAAGTTATAAGCTATATTTAACGTAGGCTGTGCTTTTACATCACATTCCTGATAATTAACTTACTGCCTATGACCCTACTGATCTTATAATAGTTAACCTCAGCAAATCAAGTATAAATTGGGAAAACATTACCAAATAAAATAGTTAAATGCTTATATAGAAAACAAAAATTTAAAACCATACTACTAATTCTTGCTCAGCATTGAAAAAATAAGTAAACATTAAAAACATTGCTATTAAAGTAAATAAAATGCAAAATATCCTTTAACATAGGTGCTGTGCAGAATTGTACTAGTGTACCTAGTAAATGCAACAAAATACAAGTAAGAAATAAGTAGTGTAACAATAAAGCAAAAGTGTCATTATTTGCAAAAAAAAACAAAAACAAAAAAATTACCTGAAAAATATACTGGAAAAATATTATAATATTGTAGAAAACAGTTTAATACATTGGAATATAAAATTAAGATGTCAAATGGAAGAGTAGGAAAATACTGCGCTTGTCTCCTCCCATGACCACATCAAAATCGCAACTAAATTATAGACCAACACTGGGCACCACCTGAAGACTTGCTGAACAAAGTTCTATTAACTAAGGATATACAGAAGAAGCCACATGGAGACCGATAGAAGGAGCGGAGACTCAGAACAGGCTGATCCCACACCCACATGTGGTGGTTAAAAATTTAAAGGGGTATCTCAGCTGTGGAAGTTTCCCCTGTGGAGCAAGGAGTCCCAGCCCCACACCAGGATCCCCAGCCTAGGGTTCCAGTGCCAGAAAGAGAAGACTCATAATTTCTGGCTTTAAAAACAAGCAGGGATTGTGACTGAGTGAGACAGAAGGCTGCTGGAGTCCCAGGCATTCCTCTTAAATGATCTGTGCATGAACTTACTCACTGACAGACTCATGCACTCTGAGCTCCAGCACTGGGGCAGCAGCTTGAAAGGTGCCAGGGACATATAGGGAGAACTAAATTGTCTAGCTTCAGGGTGAAGGCTGCAGGGCCAGCTTTCTTCTGGACAGAAGTGCTGGCAGAAGCCTTTGTTCCTTTGTTGAGCCCTCCCCCAACCCAGCCTGCATGCACAGGTGGGCACCAAGGCTAAGTCTCCATCAACCTGGCTAACACAATTTGTCCTGCTCTGGTGATTCCCTGAGATCCTGTTCCACCCAGCTTTCAGGCCCACCCAAACCACTTTCAGTGGATTTTCCATACAAATGGCCTGTCTTGGTGTGTGCTACAGATTTTCCTAAAATGTCCTAAAGGTTCACAAACTCCAAACAAACAACATCTTGCCTGGACATTCCCCATACATCTTGCTAAACAGCCCCAATCCCGGCACTAGTGGCAGCCAGCCTTAGTTTGCAGCTCAGCCCCTTATAGGCACCACCACGCTCAGTACAAGCAACAACTATCTGCAGATCACTTTGTAACTCATAGCAGGTGGCCCCAGGCAGGGGCATAGACAGTGGCTGACCTTAGCCTACACCAGAGCCCCACTCCCCAACAAGCCCCAGAACCAATGAACCTGGTGGCCAGCTTCAGATCACACCAGAACACCACACAACCTCCTCCACAAATGACACACCCAAAAGGCAGATTCAGCAGGCACCAGAGCCCTGCTAAAGTAAATCCTGCTCTGTAGGGTCAGCCCCTGCACAATACTCCTCCACTGTATTTATAGACAGTCCTCACAAACAATCAGCTTGAGGATCAATCCCTCCTACTGATGTGCCAACCACAGGCTCAACTACAACAGGAGGGTATGCACAGCGCATACAAGGGACACACCTGGAACAATCAGCTCAGGCGATCAGGAAGACTGCACCATCAAGCCCCACAGGACACCTACTACATAATGCCACTCTACCAAGACTGGGAAACATAGCAAATTTACCTAATTCATAGAAATGAACACAGGGAGTCAGCCAAAATGAGGAGACAAAGAAACATGTTCCATATGAAAAAGCATAACTAAGCTCCAGAAAGAGAATTAAACAAAATGGGGAAGAGCAATCTCCCAGATGCAGAGTTCAAAACACTGGTTATAAGGATGCTCCACGATCTCAATTAGAACTTCAACAAAGAGATAGGAAACGTAAAAATGGAGATAGAAAACATAAAAAAGAACCAGTCAGAAATGAAGAATTCAATAACTAAATAAAGATTACATTAGGAGAGGAATCGATAGTAGATCAGATGAAACAGTGGAAGAGATCAGATGAAACAGTGGATCAAATCAGCGATTTGGAAGAAAAGGTAGCAAAAAACACCCAAACAGAAGGAAAATTGGGGGGAAAAACGTTACTTAAAGATATCTAAGAAATTTCCTCTTTTGTTTGAAAAAAAAACAGAATGAGCTAGACTGCCGTCTAACAAAACATACTCTAACTAGGTAAGATACAGTAGTG